GACCTTTTCTTAAAAAGCAAAAAATTTAAAAATGAAATGAAATAAAGTCATGCGCTCCAGTTTGCCTCTCAGGAAGATGGCCCTAGCTGTGGCCAAGGCTGGAATCCAGGAGCCTCACATGCAGCCCAGTCATGACCATCAGAGAAGAGATTGTGAGAGGTTCAGATAGCTCACGGCTGTGCAGAGAGAGAAGAGCAGGGAACCCTGTAGAGCTAAGGACGGAGATGTCCTAAGGTGTAGTAATTGCAGGAAAGGGAGGTGCTTTAGCTGCCTGCATCCCTGAAAATGAGGGGGTGTCCCCAGCCATCCTTCCTTCCTTCTGCTCCAGTCCCTGGGTTGACTTGCTTCCCTGCTCTGCCTCCTCCGTCCCTGACATTGCTGTCAGGCGTCTGTTACTAAGAACAGTGTTTTCCTCGCCCTTTCCACACCCTCACTGTCCAGCTCTGCTCACCTGCTGCCCTCTGCCTTCTGCTCCCACCACTGCACAGAAACTGTCGTCTCCGGACTTCCTGTGACCACCTCACCTCCACCGCTGTGGCTTCTCAAACTTCAAGGTCAGAATTGCTTGGAGGACTTGAGAACCTGTAGGTCGCTAGGCCCAAACCCTGGAGATTTTTACCCAGTATGTTCCCCAGTGTCTTGGTTACTTTTCTCTTGTTGCTGAGACAAAATACCCAACACCCAAAATGAAGGAAGGAAAGGTTTATTTGGCTCATAGTTTGTGGAGGTTTCAGTCCATACTTGGCTGGCTCCGAGGCAGAAGATAGCAAAGCAACAAGAGCAAGGGGGAATGGCAGCCGAACGGCAAAGCAGCCAGAGCAAAAGGGAGGAATGGCGGCAAGCAGCTTCTTTCCCTGCCTTACATCGTAAACAGGCTACCCCCACCTGAGGGGCATGTAGCTCTCACATACTCTCCATGCCGTCCTCTTCCACAGGCTCAGGATGTATACAAAGTAAGCACTCTGGCTTCCTGCTAAGTCACTTAGCCAAACCTCTAGACTCCCCAAGTTGACACAATGTATCAACCATAACACCCAGGAACCTGTGCTGCAGACCCACGTGTAGCACCCTGAGAGCCACAGGTGGGCCAGGTCAAGCATAAACTCAGGATCCCTCCAGTCTGGCTAAGCTCAGCTCTCTAACTTCATCTAGCAGACCTGCTAGCTTGCTCATTCCTGAGTGCGGAGGAGTTGTCACCCTGGCTCTTTCTGTCTGGGTGCCCTCCCACTTTTCCTTCTCTGCCTGCTCATTTTTTCCTTAGAACCTAACTCAGAGGTCATAGCTTTTTGAAATACCCCTCCCTTCTATTGTAGTAAAAACTGATTGTAGTTCTTCCGTGATTCATTTATTAAGTTGTTTAGCTGTTACTGGGTCAGAGTCCTTGCCCTTTAGATCCCTAGAATTTTTGCAGGAAGACATTTAAAAAATTATCTTCAATGGAAATCAGCAGCTACTGGAGTTTAAGGGACTCCTTTATTGATGGAATAAATGTGTTTTGCGTGAGAAGAGCACACACAAAGTGGGACTGGGAGGGTGGCAGGTTGGCTGCTAAAGCATTCACTGTTTTTTGCTGCTGAGTTCCTGCATCCTCCTGTCTTCCCCTTCAGATCACCCTGTCCTGGCTTCTAGCACCAAGCCACCCCTGTACTGCCCAACACAGCTCTAAGCAGTGATCTGAAGCCTAGGAAAGAAACTGCCCTGCTGCAGAAAGAAAGGGCGATTCCTGCAAGTGATGGGAGTGGCCTGAGCAGGCAGTGCTGGTGCGCAGTGAGGGCACTGCCTGCTGGCTTCTCTGACCATTCTTTGTGCCTCTTGCTGGATTCTTTCTTCCTCCTGCTGATTCACTGTCAGGGATTAACCAGGCTTCAGTTCTGAGCATCTTTACTTTCACCTCTGCATTTATTACCTAAGCTCATACATTGATGCAGCAAAGTCCAGGGTTTCTCAAGCTTTAAGACCCATCTGAGTCACCTGGGGTCTTGTTAAAGTGCAGATTCTGACTTAGTGGAGCTAAGAGCCTGCATTTCCTACATACAGCTGATTCCCTGTTGCTGATCTATGGCAGCACCTTTAGAAGTACCATAGCCACTTACGTGTGACAGCTCCGCGTCTTGGACTTGGAACTTGGGCCCAGGCACAGAAACCAAAACAGAATGAGAACAGCTAGAGTTTACTCAGTGTTTATTATACAGCAGGCTCTGTGGTAATCTACCTATACACTATTGCTTTTAATCTGCAGAACAGGTCTAATGAGCTGGATACTGCTGTTACTGCTATTATTGCATTCATTTTGCAAATAGAGACACCTTTGGTCCTTGAGCTGGCTGTGCTCACCGACTGTACAGTGAGGTGAGTGCTCAGACTGCACCGCCCAGGGCAGTCTTGTGGCAGGGCACGTGAGTGCTTCCTAATTGGCCACCGCACCTCAGGTCTCCCTGGCTGAGGGAACTGTCCTCCCTGCCCTTGCGATGCAGGAGGAAATGCAGAGTAGGATAACGGTTGACCTCTTGCCCACCTGTCAGGCATGCACCAAATTTTAAAAGTGCCTCTTTTTCAAGCTTCTCAACACTTCACAATATTTTGACATGGGAAGGGGAAAAAAATGGAAATGCTTTGAAACATTTCTCTTCCTTGAATTCTCATTCTCAGACCCTGTGACTGAACTGAAGTTGAGTCATAGGATTCCAGTTTAACATATGCAGTTACTATAGCAATTGAGGTTTCCTTAGCAACAGTTGCAAAAATAATCTGGCCCCAATTAATAATACATTTTAGCGCTCTTTCTACTCTATACTGAGCAACCCAGTTTTTTTGGCCAAGAACCAGATAATTCAGGTGGTGTCATTTGCACTGATAGAGATATCATTTGCATGCGGTGAATTGGATTGGAAAGGGATGAAAAGGGAGCGGTGGTTTCAAGTGTGATAGGAATCCACTCAGAAAAGTTGACTGCCAAGCTAATGCGAGTCCAGTTGCCCGGGTTTGGGAGCTTCATGGCGAACCCTGCCCTGGCTTCCAGCATGCCCTGGAGGAGTTTCTGCCTTTGAAAAGGGGAGGAAGGGGTGGGGCTTGTTAACAAAAAAGATGATAGCAGAGGGGTTAGGATTTCTCTTCGTTGGGTGCTTGGCGTGTTCTCCCTGGTTTGAGAAGGCCTGTTAGTGTGTGAGGTGGGCGATTCTTCATGAAGAGAAGGTCTGACTTCACACTGGGAGCTGTGTCCTCACATGGTCTTTGGTAATGGCTCGACACATGAGCCTCCCAAAGCTCACAGCCATTCTGATTGGTTGTGCAGTACCTGGGGGATGGCGAGGCAGTCTATGGGTTTCAAGTTTGGATTTCTTGACATTTGGGATTCAACCTTGGGTGTTGTCTTTGCATGCGCAGAGCTGGCCGGCCAGGGACTCAGGGATGTGAGCAGACAGCTCAGTCCTTCCTGGGTCTGGATGCAGTTTCTATTCCCGCGGCTAATCTGGGCTTTAAGAAACCAGAGATTGCTCAGCAGGGTGCTGGAGGCCAGCCAGGGCAAACCCGCCCGCCCTCCTGCTAGGCAGGCCCGCTGCAGGACGCCCAGATTGCTCACCCTGTGTGGGGTCTGTACCTTGCCCTGGGTTTTTCTCTCAGCTGGCAAGTGGCCAAAGCTTGTAAAGAGAAGAGTAGGGGTGGAATGATGTTTTCACTCTCAGTGTCCTGTGAGAAACTTACAATTATTTATTTTTCCTTTTTCCTTCATTTTTAGAAGTGAGGAGGAGGGTAGATAGGGGAAACAGAGCCAAGAGTAATAATGATAGAGTGGGTAGGATCTCAGATTACCTGAATACAGTGTATTTCTTTTGGACCTTGGCTTCTTGCCACCTTAAAGGGAACACTGTCAGTAATTAGCAGCTAGGGTGTCACCCTGGAGTCCGCACTCCTGCTGTTTGGGAACAGGGTGGTGAAGGAAGGGAGCCCGAGAGGTTCTGCTCCGTCACGTAGTTCATCGCTATCCCCTCAGCCTCCCTCTGGGCCTGAAGTTCAGCCTCCGCCTCTTCTAACGCCTGCTGCCATATTTTCCAGCCCTCTCTCACGGGCTCGCCCACTCACATGTTCTTCAGCAAATGCTGAGGAAGCCCTGTCCAAAGCCTAGGCTCTGGGAGTGTGGCGGTGAGGACGTCCACTCAGTAAGCTCCGTGGGGCAGCCCTAGCACTTAGCAGCCTGCGGGAACCAGGGTGGGTCCTCAGAGATACTGGCTGATTGAGTGGAATATGCTTGGTCTTGGTCTTCAGGACCTCACAGTGTAGGGAAGAAGGGAGATGTGAGGAAAAACGGCTGCAGTCCTGTGAGGGTGCTGAGGAAGCGCATCTCATCCTGGGGGCAGGGAGGAGGAGGGGTGAGGAGACAGGGAAGGGTCAGGATGGGGCGGGGGCAGAGGAGACGGGCAGAGAGGATGCGGGGGCAGAGGCCAAGCACGGGGGAACTGCCTCTGGGCCAGTTGTGGGAGGTGAGTGAGGACAGTTGGGCAGGGGTCAGGCCCTAAAGAGCCTTTTTTGTTTGTTTTTGTTTTTTTGAGACAGGGTCTCACCATGTAGTTGAGTGGTCTCAAACTCACTACATAGCCCAAACTGTTTCTCCTGCCTCAGCTTCCCAAGTGCTGGGATCACAGGCGTGCACCACCAGGCCCAGTCTCGAGGGCCTTTTTGCTGGGAAAAGGATTTTTTTCCTTTAGAACCTATAGGTAGTTGGGAGCTGTTACACGTTTTATGCAGGAACAGGATATGGGCAGGGAGAGCTGGCAGGGCGCAGGACACAACAGGTAGGGCCTAATCCTGGGTGTGGCAAGGAAGAAGTGGCTGGAAGAGGATCCTTACACCAAACCTTGTTTTGGAGGAAGCCCATTCATGGCAGGTCCCCCAGGAACTGTGCTGGACTGAGTTAGGCTCTAAGCCCAGAAGTGAGGTTTGGAATGGGCCACATTTCCCGGTGTGTGTTGCAGTTCTTCTGAACATTTTCCATCCTTTCACAGTGACCAAACTGCAGGTGAGCAAATCAAAGAGAACCCTCACGCTGGTAGAAAACAGGCCCATTCAGCTGAACTGCTCTGTCAAGTCTCAGACCAGCCAGAACTCGCACTTTGCCGTGCTGTGGTACGTGCACAAGCCCTCCGATGCCGATGGCAAGCTCATCCTCAAAACCACACACAGCTCCACCTTTGAGTACGGCACCTACGCTGAGGAGGAGGGCCTGCGGCCCCGGCTGCAGTTTGAGCGGCATGTGGCTGGGGGCCTGTTCAGCCTCACAGTCCAGAGAGCCGAGGTCAGTGACAGTGGCAGCTACTACTGCCATGTGGAAGAGTGGCTGCTGAGCCCCAACTACGCCTGGTATAAGTTGGCAGAGGAGGTCTCGGGCCGCACGGAAGTCACTGTGAAGCAACCAGGTAAGTCAGAGGGTGCAGCTATCTGGGGCCAGAGGGCTTCCTGCAGAGACTTTGTGGGGCTGGGCAGGGTGCTGTGGGATCCATTGGTGGACCTGTCTGCAAGGTGCGTCATCTGGGTGTCTCTGGGATCCTTTCTCTCTACCCACAGTAGGTCCTCATGAGGGTGCAAGCTCACCGAGCATCCTTGACTAGTCTTAGGGACACTGTCTGCCCCAGGGATACTCAGGGGCAGCTATGGTTAGCAAGATGTGACAAGGCAAGAGTCCATGGCAACTCTTAGTTCTCTTTCTGGGTTTGCAGTTTGTACCCTGGATCTCATCCTGGCACCAGCTCCACACCCAGAATTCCTGCCTATATGTATTTGCAAGTTCTGGCTGCCTTCCCTTCTTTCTTGGCCTCCCAGAGCTGTCCAGACCAGGCCTTCCTGTCCCCAAACTGATTCAGCCCTTGGACCTTCTCAGGCCTCAGCGGGGAGCCCTCGGCCTGGCCCTGATGGCAGCCTCTAGCCTCTGTGGGAATGGGTCCAGGAGGAAGGACCGATAACCTCCAAGTCCTTGGTACAGCAACCCATCCCCTCGCAGGTTGTAGATCTGCCCCTAGAGCAACCCAGGAGAACTTCGGGCCATTTCCTTCTAGCCACACACAGGCTGTGCCCTCTCTTTGTCTCTCTTTCTCTTTGTTAAGGAGCTCAGCAACTCCCAGGTGGTGAGGCCGTAAGGGCCTGCTCCGTCCGTCCTCCCCACATGCCCTGCTTTTGCATACTGAAGGGCGTCAGGCGGGGTGGCCACCCCACATCTGGCTCCATGCCTTTGTTTGCTCCTCTCCTCTGTCTGCAGTGCAGCTTTCCTGACCCTTCTGCCTGTCATCATCCATCGCACAGCTTCACTCGCAGCCCTTCCAGATGTCTATCCTGTCTTCTCCCATATCACAAGAGGACCGCTACAAAACGTAATAATTACCTCTGTTTCTTCTGCACTGCACTGTAAGGCCCATAAGAACAGGGCTGTCTTTATATCTTCAGCCCTTGGCATGGCACCCTTAGTAAATACTGGATGAATAAGGAATAAGTGGATGCTGTCCTGAACACCACAGGGCCTTGTACTCACTGTTCTCCCAGCCTGGAACATGATGGTCATAGATACGCACTTCTCTCCCTCTTCCTCTGAAAGGTATTTCTAGGGTCTTTCTAGCTCATGTTAACTTAAGGGCTACCCTGGTCACTCTGTCTTCCCTTCCCTACACACTTCACAGTTGATATCAGCACCTGGCACTCTTTCCATTTACTTATTCACGTCAGTAATTCTGGAGCACTTACTCATGTTTATACTTAGAATCACTTATTGGCTAACGTATTACTTATTCATTATTAAAGTATCCAAGTACACACATAGAAATTTGTTGTCTGCCTCGTCCGTGAGAACTAAACTCCCTGAATGATCACAAGGACTCGATTTTCTTCCCATTGCTTGACTGCCATGAAGCCTCAATACACATTTATTCAGGAGACCACTAGGACCTGGTACACATTCCAGGTATGGCCAGGTTTGTGCTGGGTGCAGTGGGACTTTGCTCTCCTATTCCAGAGGCCAGCATGACACAGGGACATTGTCTGTGGACCCTACTGCTGGTGCATTTCGACAAGAAGCCCTGCTTTAGAGTGGTCCCTGCAGGTCCTGACTGCTGGTCGGTCCCTAGGGCTTTTGAAGTCCGAATGCCACCACCCTTCTCCTGGTCCCTGTTCTCTCTGCTTTCAGTTCTGTTTTCCCTGCGAGGAGAAAGCCATCTCTGCCCCTGTCCATCTCTTCTGTGACAATCACCATCCTTTTCCTTTCCTCATTTGCTCTGAAACCAAGATGCTCTTGACGGGTCCTACATTTATTAAGGAGATTTCCCCAGCTGGGGCTGCAGTCAAGCTAAGGGAGACAGCTCAAAAAGACTGCAAGAGTCCCTGTCAGCACATTTGGTGGCTACTCTGTTAACAGTGAATTTTAACACTCCAAACAGAAAAATCACAAGGCACTGATTAAAACAGCTTCTCCCTTTTCAGCTGAGATCTTTAGTTCATTCTGTTTTTCTTTCTTTTTAAAAAACCATTCCCCAGTGATGAGGAAACATATACTCACCCAAAACAAGCAAATAAAAAGAACCCCAAAATGAAAAATATAATGATCTTACAACCCAGAAATAACCACAGATCACATCTTCTTCTATGTATATTTTGGAGAGTTTAATTATTTAAAATATATTTTCTGAGGTGTTTTATCTTTTAATTGCAACACTAATCCTGAGCAAAACATTCAGAAGATATTAAAATGTACAAAGTAAAAAGTGAAAATGCCCCAGCTCCTCCTCTCCAGTGTCAGTGGTGCCCCGGGATGTTTCCCTGAGGAGCTTCTGTGTGTTTACAGTGTCATGGCTTTTAGATCCCTCGGGTCCAGACAGGCTCAGAGGGCTCTTTATGACATCACAAGGATGCTATCAGGGCATGCCATGGTTAATGACACATTTTCACCAGAGAAGAATCTTGTTCATGAGTTTTCAAAGCGTCTGGTTCCCTCAGTGTCGGTCTTTTCTTTATGATACCAGGTCAGTCCCCTTCCTACCTTGGGAGGGAAGTGGCCCCAGGGCACCCACATGAGCATATCAAACTGGGCTTCCTCGGCAGTTCTTTGTGGGCCCCGACCTAGCGTACTGTAATTGTCACTTGGTGAGTTTTCAGGTTACTCTTGCCAGGGGAGAGGTTCTCACCCTGCCCTTGCCTGCGCCACCGCAGTTGCCCCATCACCCAGCCGTGTGCTTCGGGATCTGTCATCCCTGGGAATGCAGCCCTCTCTAGCTGGTGTTCATCCTCCCTCAAGCACCTGAACTGGTGGGGGTGATGGGCTGGGACCGCTGCTACGCTCATGCTGGACTCTGTGAAACCCAGGCACTCGCACGCATGGCCCAGGCGTGCGGTGTGTTAGAGGGCTACATTTGAGCAGTGTGGCCCCTCTGCTTGGAGGGTACCCATTCACCTGCCCTCAGAAAGGTATGTGCAAACCACCGTGCTCACATTGCGATGTCTCTTTCCTTCCTCTCCCAGACAGCCGCCTGAAGCTCAGCCAAGCCCAGGGGAACCTGTCAGTTCTGGAGACCCAGCAGGTACAGCTGGAGTGTGTGGTCCTGAACCGCACCAGCACGGCCTCGCAGCTGCTGGTGGAATGGTTCGTGTGGAAGCCCAACCACCCGGAGCGCGAGACAGTGGCCCACCTGAGCCGCGAGGCCACCTTCCACTATGGAGAGCAGGCAGCCAAGAACCACCTGCAGGGGCGGCTGCACCTGGAGAGCCCCTCGCCCGGCGTGTACCGGCTCTTCATCCAGAACGTGGCTGTGCAGGACAGTGGCACCTACAGCTGCCGCGTGGAGGAGTGGCTGCCCAGCCCCAGCGGTGTGTGGTATAAACGGGCGGAGGACACCGCTGGACAGACCACAGTGACAGTCATGCGGCCAGGTGAGGCTCCAGTCCCCATCCTCTTCCCTGGTGTTTCCACTTGAAGTGTAATATTTTCTGTGCTGAATCAAATGTTTATTTTTTGCAGTCGCATATATGTGTTAACATTTTATATTTATATTCAAAATGATGTTGGTTTTTTTTTTTTTTTCTCTGAGAATGAAAGATTGCCCATCTGGCCTTGGCCGAAAGTGATTTGCTTTCTTAATTAGAATAATTAATTATTCTAGAGGACAGAATGTTTTCTCTTTAAGACTAGATTCAGACAAGCGGTTGATATGGAAATGAAGTCTTGAAGCCATAGCCATGTAGTTGGAAAAGTCAAGCTAGTGAATTTCCAGAGGAAAAGAGTTGGTTCTTTAAATAGAAAGGAGTTAAGTACCTGTAGCCTCTGCCCCGTGGTTGCCTAATAATTTATTGGTACTAATGACTATCCCGGGTGTGACCTTTTGCTTTCCTTGTCCCTGGTGCTGCTTCTGAAGAACCTAAATGGGTATAATTAGGGGAATAATTGTTGTCGTACATTTAAACACATAAGCTAAGATGTGCAGATTCGGGCTGAAGTCCCCACAAAGACACGGAGCATGAATTGGCAACTTGCATCAGTGTGAACGCTTTGTCTTGTTGTGAGCATCACACTGTGGTTGGAGCTGCTAGAAGTTTTTGGCATGTGTCGTGTCTAGGTTGAGCTGCTCTTTTCGTTGGTAGTACAGTGGAGCATCGGGGTTGCACTGGGCCCCATACGTCACAGAACATGCTTCAGGGCGGTAAATGTACCCTGTGTTATAGCGGTGTTCACTTGCCTGTGTCTTACTTAAGCTGGAGGGGAAGTCACCTCCACTTTGAATTATTCATATTTTCCATGGACTTTTATTTATGTGTACAGTTTTCTGGCTAGAGACTTCTGTCTGTCTTTTCCTGGATGTAAAACTGTAGAGAATGGCTGAATACGCTCCTCTCTGAGTCATCCATTGTCAGATCACAAGGCCAAGGCCCCTTGGTAGGAGGAGACAGATGGCTATGGAGTACCAGCTATGTCCTGTGACAGTTAGGAGATTTATGTTCAGTCCTCCTAGCAACCCCAATCTGTGAATTATACTAACAAGGGCAGAGGGAAATGCTAGAGCTAAAGCTAGAGGGAAATGCTAATGGCCAGGGAGAGCAGGGAAAGTGGTCGTCCACTTTTGCATCACTAATGCATATGAAGCGCTGTTAGGAGAAAGCAGAGGGAGAGGAGGTGGGGAAGGGGACCTGAGGGAACTAAACTTGATGGGCTCTGACCCATCTGGCCACCTGACCGCGATGGGCTCCATTGAATGTTACCCGGGGCCATCCTTGTGATACACACCAGCCACCAGGGGCGCGGGAATGCTCTGCTGGTTGCTGGCACAAGGTGCCTGGGGCACCAGTCTCTGACGGCTCTGGCTTTACACTTCAGCTATGCTCTAGGGAAAGACAGCTTCATGAGTTTTGAGAGTCTGAGTCACCTGTAGCTGGTTTAATACCCTCCATCCTGCCGTTTGCTGTCCTGAAGCGGTCTCTGATAGTGCGGATGGTGCCCTGTGCCTGCCAGTTGTACCAGGTTACCTGACTTTCCCATTCCTGCAGTGCATAGCGAGATTCCAGCCGGGCCAGCCAGGAAGGGGTCGGGGCAGGGAGGGCTCGGCAGAGCCCTACAGAAGTCGTAGGAACCCTGGGTTGGTATCCACCTGTGAGCAACTTGGAGCCAGTGCATTGAAAGCCCAGGACAGTACTTGGGAGATGCTCCTATTGGTCTCCATCCAAGTAGAATCTGATTTGGTGTGTCCACTTCTGTTAAGATGACATTGGCCTCTTACATGAACATTTCATAGACAGAGCCAAACAGAAGCCTTTTAGGAGCAAGGGGCTGAGTTGTTTGTTTAGAACCTACCACAGTGAGCCAAAGAAAAGAAAAGGCAGCAAGTAACTTGGGATGCGAGGCTGTCTGGTGGTATCTGTGAGACGAGATTCCTTGTGTGGTCTCTCCTGTGGTGATTCTGTGTCTCCCGCCTAAGCTGGGACCACATGTCCATGTGCATCCTGTTGAGAAGAGGGAGAAGTCCTTTGGGGCCTGTTGTCCATCATTTGGCTTCAATCCTTGGCAGAGTATTTACTTCTTTGGGTTTACTGTGGCTTAGGCTATCAGCTATGTTCACACTTTAAATGTAACAGCAGCTCCTGAGTGGATATATTCACTTCCGAGGGTTACTATAACAAATTGCCACATACTTGGTACCGTAAAACAAAAGAAATGTATTCTCTCACAGTTCTGGAGGCCAGCAGTCCCCAATGAGGGTATAATCACAGCCATGTTCCTGTAGGCTTTAGGGAAGAATCTTCTCTCACCTCTTCCAGCTCGTGGTGGCCCACACATCCTGGGTTGCACTGCCACTGGATCCCTCTGCCCTTTGATAAGGACACCAGTTCTCTTTGTGTGCTTGGCTGTCAGAATAGTCCAGACTGGGTAACTTAAGCAGCAGACCTTTCCTACAGTTCTGGGTGCTGGAAGCTGAGGTCAGGGTGCCAGCATGGTGGGGTTCTGGTGATGCCTTCTTTCTGGCTGGTAGATGGCCCTTCTCACTGTGTCTTCACATAGCCTCACATGTGTGTGTCTAGACAGAGGGAGACAGTTTTGTTTTGCTTCTTGTAAGGTCACCATTCCTGCTAGATTAGGGTCCAACCCTCATGACTTCATGTAACTGAAATTACCTTCTAAAATCCCTGTATTCAAATATAATCACATTGGGGGTAATGGCTTCAACGTATAAATTGGTTGGAGGAAGGCCCAATTCAACTAACACCAGTCATTGGATTTAGAATCTATCCTAATCCAGTATGACCTTATCTAGAGAATTCATCTGTAAAGAATCCCTTTCCAAGTATGGTCACCCCTTGAGAGTCTAAGTGGTCATGCATTTTGAGGAGATGCTATTCAGCCATACAAGTGGATCTCAAAATAAATGTCCCTTCCTCCCTGGGTTCCAGCAAAGAGCTGCATCACCAGCTTCTCCTGAATTCTTCCACACATATTTTCTGCAAATATAAGCACATATACATGTCAGAATAAAATATGTTCTGGATTCTGTCTTTCCAGAACCTCTTTCCACATTTCTGCACATAGCTCAGCCTGTTTGCTTTTCTAGTAGGGCAGTAGCAGCAAACCTATGCCATGTGTGTCACAGCCAGCTGTTTGTTATCACTGAAAGCCCTGAAAGGTTCAGCATCACTGCAGAAGGGGAATAGTCTTGTGTAGGATAGCATACAGCATAATGTAGTTATCAGTGGGCATTTAATTGGTTTCTCCCTTATTTGTGCCTTGTCTTTCCCCAGATGCTGCCCTCCAGGTGGACACTGTAGTCCCCAATGCCACCGTGTCTGAGAAGGCAGCCTTTCAGCTGGATTGCAGCATTGTCTCCCGCTCAAGCCAGGACTCCCGCTTTGCGGTGGCCTGGTATTCCCTAAGGACTAAGGCTGCAGGGAAAAGGGGCAGCCTCAGCCTGGAAGAGCAAGAGGAAGAAAAGGAGGAGGAAGAGGAAGAGGCGGATGGGGAAGAGGACCCAACAGAGCGGACAGTCCTGCTAAGCGTGGGCCCAGATGCTGTCTTTGGCCCAGAGGGCAGTCCCTGGGAAGGCAGGCTCCGCTTCCAGAGGCTCTCGCCTCTGCTGTACCGGCTCACGGTGCTGCAGGCAAGTCCCCACGACACGGGCAACTACTCCTGCCATGTGGAGGAGTGGCTGCCAAGCCCTCAGAAGGAGTGGTACCGGCTGACAGAGGAAGAGTCTGCCCCCATTGGCATCCATGTCCTGGACACAAGTGAGTTTCCCCAAGTACAGAGGAAACAGGTGGTTCCAATTTGAAGGATAATGCAGAGCTTGATGAAATAAGTTAATAAGCACTCTTCTTAATGGCCATGAGCATTTATTAGTAATGTTTGAGATGCAGTAGGATTTCACATACTTATCCCTTGATTGCTCATGCGAAAGGGTGGGTATCGAAAGTAAAGTGATAATACACCATATAATCTTTATAATAACTTGATGTTCCACCGGAGTCTATTTCAGTAAGATTTCGTGGTGGAAGTATGGTGTTAGATGTTACTTTGCTACATTTCAGAATTCTGAACTTAGTTTTCTCTTTAGTGAACTACCAAGTGTTTCAGATTCTGTAAGAGGAAAAACATACAAAGCTTGTGGATCATTCTTTTTAATTTTGGAGGATGCCCTGGTAGCGTGTTTAGATTCTGCAGGCTTAGAGGGGAGAATCAGGCTGAATGGGCAATGATGTTAACAGGAGAGCCGGGAGAGGCGCAGCAGCAGAATATTCCACAGTGCAGGGTTCACAGGCATAGGTGACTTTCACCTGCTGACCTGAAGTACTTGTTTTAACAAGGCACCTTTTTGATTGTATCTCTGTCAAAATGTGCAATATATCAGACGGAAAGTAGTGTTTACTGTTGTAGGATTAGCCTATATTGCAGACATAAAAAATTTACTAGAATTTTTATCTTCCTCTCAAGTCGAAACATCTTACGCCATAATCTTGATTTTAAGTTTTCTGAGCTCTTTCTTTGCTTTGGTCACCTCCTGTTAACATGCTATTAAATGTTAAATGTACTGAGAGTTTGTAGGTGAGAAATAGTTGACTATCAGCAATTGCATATACTTGGCAATCCAGTAAGTATAACTGTGTGTTAACTTTTTAAAAATAATACTGAAGAACAACAGCTCGGCAATGGAAGGGAAAAGAGAAAAAGCCTAAATCATGCGTAGACTGCATACCGTACTTGCATAGACAGTCTAGTAAATAACCCGGTGTCCCAAAGTAAAAGAGAAGGTGTGTAGGCCACATGTTATCTAGCCCTGTGGGCATCTATGGTTACTGAGCTTTGTAGAGTATAGAAATCATCCAGCAGCCTAGTTTACAGAGAAGAGGTGGCTTTGAGAGGCCAGGCCCCTGCTGAAGTCTGATGAGCTGTTGAGCACCCCTTCTACTTGGGTGGGACACCTGGATTCCTTCTTTTCCCTATCCAGCTTTAACTGTGCTCGATGCAGCCACAGACACACTAGCCATTGTCAGCAGTCTGTAATGACATTTTAATTGATAATGTTAAGCAAGCAAGCATCATTTCTGGTATAACTGCTCTCAGAACCGGGAAGAGAACCTGTTAGATTTCCTAAGAAGGAAGTTTGGAGTGGAACTAAGTGCAAAGGGACATGTAAACTGTAACCACAAAGAGGTTCAGACTAAGTGGAAGTCAGCCTCCTTACTGTCCTAGACATGGTTGAGTGCGGTAGATAAGCTCCACTTTCCTATGTGGCTTTCCAAGCAGGAGAAATGGATCTTAGTGGAAATGGAAGCGTTGCATTGCTTGGACTTAGAGCTGTCCATGAAGAGGTGTTGATGTGAGAAAAGGAATGCAAAGGTCATCTCTCCACCATTAGCGGGAGCAGGAAAAAGGCAGGTGGGCGTGGGAGTCGGCCGGTAGCTTCTGTCAGATCAGGTGAGGTCTTCAGGGACAGGTGTGGACAGCCCAGCTCACAGCCCTTACTATCATGACTCCCCTGTCCTTTGCAGGTTCCACCCTCCAGTCACTCATCTGCTCCAACGACGCGCTCTTCTACTTCGTCTTCTTCTACCCTTTCCCCATCTTCGGCATCCTCATCATCACCATCCTGCTGGTGCGCTTCAAAAGCCGGAACTCCAGCAAGAACTCCGATGGGAAGAACGGGGTGCCCCTGCTGTGGATCAAAGAACCGCACCTCAACTACTCCCCCACCTGCTTGGAGCCCCCAGTGCTCAGCATCCACCCAGGAGCCATAGACTAAGGGGGTGTCCCAGCAGACGTTGGCCATGGAGGAGCTGAGGCTCTCCCTCGCTGCCTCTTGCTCTGTGATTGGACAGTCGACAGCATCCAAAGGTTCAGATGTCCATGCAGAAAACTGTCAGATTTGGAGAGTGCTCACCGCTCCCGGTCGTCATCACAGAGTCGGGCTGCCTCCAGGTGGCAGCCTTGGTTGGTTAGCTCTTCGTGCCCAAATGTCATGATCCTGCCGTTGTAGGTTTCTAGTTTTTGGTTTTGGTAATGTAGTGAGTAGTTCCAGGTGCCACATCTACTCACCAGTTTATCTAGTGTTCTCAGATAGATGTTATGAGGGTTTATACTCTTTGTAACGTACCCTTTCCAAATCCCTGTGGTTTACCCCTGTAGGATTCCATCCTGTTGTGGACGAATTTCACCTACATACAAGTGATGGCAAGAGGAAGGATGACTTCATAGTAACAAAGCATCTCTTCCAAGACTTTGTATTTGCACATTTGAAAATGCCACCCGTGGATCAAAATGCACCCAAACATTTTTTACTTTCTTAACAAGACTTGAAAAATGTGTGTAGCGTAGGCCCAATTTGTATCTTATCTTTTCCCTCAGCTGGAGTTGTTGGAACACTTTGTAGTCAAGATGAAAGCATTGAATTTTGCTTCAAAGAACTGCATATGTGCAAGAGAAATCCTGCATAACCTCATTAAGATAGATGGTGCCCGGCCAGCCTGTCTGTCAGGGAGGGGGAAAAGGCTTCATCCAATCTTTGCCAAAAAAATAAGAAGACTGTCTTAGACAATGGGTCAGACGCTCCAGACAGCACACACTTCCCGAGCTAAAGTGGGCGATGGCTGCTTTTAGCAGCTACTGACTCTCTGATTGATCACAGTCAGTGATTAGAGAAGGAAGTGCAAGGAGGCTGGCCCTGGCTTGGTCTGCTCCGCAAGTGCAGTCTCCAGCTGATGACTGTGAGCAGGTGGCTTTTGGCGGGAGTGCTTTGTCACACTCTGAGAGGAAGTGTCCGGTGAGGCTGGGCTGAGCATGGAGTGGAAGCGGGTGCTGTAGATAGATACCCAGTGCAGGGCGCTGGGTCGCACACCGCCAGCAGGACGGAGAGGGGTGGGCAGGGCTTTCCAACACCTGATGTTGGAGGGTCCGGAGGAATACCTGCCTTCTTGGAGGCGTGAAGATGCTTTTCTTGTTCCTCCCAGTGAGATTTTCCGCAGATATATTGACGTCTTCCTTGTTCACCATTTACCTCTCCTGGCATCTTGCTGCCGTAAGAGTATCTGCCGGGGAGGTCCAGATGTAACTTGTGGGCCTGTCCCTTCACCTGGTCTCAGTAGATAGTGCGCACACTGTTGTCTGTGGGCTTTCCCCTTCCCTCTCTTGGGTCATGTTATGGTTTTAGGCTATTTGATTATTATTCTGGTTTTTAATTTTAATGTCCAAGGGCCAGAGTGGCCACACTATCAGTCAGATACTTAGCTCTCCTGGTGCATCGTTGGTTGCAAGTACTTCCTTCTGGTCACTCTGTGAAGATGTTTTATGGCCTCGCTTCTTTATATTTTTCTGGCCAGTATTCTCTCTCCTGTCCCCATAGAACCCACACCTTGAATCCCAAGAGGGATTTGGAAAGAGCTACCAGGGATTCTGGAACCAGGGCTAACAAGAGACATTGCTGTGAAGCTGGGTCCCAGGATGAACAGGCTCCAAAGGAGGCTGTGGGATCCCCTGTGACACATGGGGTGGGTGTGTATCAGGTGTCGACAGGTGTGCAGGCTGCACGCCGCTCAGTGGGTGCTACGCTGAGCCACAGCTCAGGGGAGGCCAGGTGACTCCTCAGCCGCTTCTGACAGGCTTACCCAGACAGGCTCCCTGCCGACGCTCCTGGACGCTGTGCAGGCGCTGCCACCTTAATCCTTCCGGTGCCTGCCTCGCAGATTTTCATTTCCTATGCTGCATCGACATGTTAGAGGTCCTGAGTTGGCCCAGTCACGAAGAAAGAATGTCTTTTGCCCCATTTCTTCATTTCAGGAGGTGTGTTTTCAATGGGAATTTGCCGACTCCTGATTTTTAGGCTGAGTCAACAAGAGAAGATGACTGACTTGTGCTCTGTCTGAATGGAAGGATGCCAGAGGGCTGGCTGGGACTAAGATTTCAGTTTGAATTGGTTCGTAGCAGTAGAAAAGTAGGTGCTGCACGTAATTAAATATGTGAAGCAGTTGCAGGAGATTTGAAAAGAAAAAAGAAACTGAAGCCAGTATTTTAATAATTGCTTTTTCTGTGTATTTTCTGTCCGGCTGGGGGACACTATCAAAGGCTGAGCTTTTTGAGCTTTGTATGAAAAACCCCAGGACCCTCTTTCTTTGGCCATTTCTATGGAAATGTGGATGAATAGTAATGGTGCCCTCCAGTGGCTGTGAGACCTCATTGCATATGGTCTACTGGAGCTTTAGTCTTTGAATTCAAGAGAGGAAAAGTGCCGGATACTCTTGACTTACTGTCTACAATATTGCGTTTATGAAAATCTACACTGTGCTAGGCACATCCTAGGACATGGCTATGACCACATCCTCTTTGACCAGGGTGTTCCTGTAGCAAGTTTTCATATTCTTCTCAAACAATGGTTTCTCTGCGTTAATTGTTGAAAAAAGGAAGATCGGGTGAGAAAACCACCCATGCATGGTGTAGAGAGCTGTTGTTGTTTTTGTTTTTTAAAGGAAAAACTATTTGTAAGATGTTGCACTAAAACGTTTTATATACACTTCAGAGACCTGTAGTAAATTATGTTGACAATACGGCTGTTTTCATTTTCTGAAGTCGGCATCCTCCTCACCCTCGCTTAACCAGACCCTGGCCCCGTGAGCTGTGCTGTGGGGGCTTGCAGTTCTGTCCTTGGCCTTGGCCTGCTGGGCTCAAGGTCCACAAATTGCAGCCTTTATCTCATGCCCCACCCGCTGCCTGAAGGATGCTTTTGTACAACTGTTCAAAACCAAACCAAATCCATTTCTCCAAGACACTTTGCCGCTGTGTGCTGAAATGTATCATAAAAAATGTACACCTCTGCTCTGACTGGCGAGGCCCTGCTACCTCTGGATCTGTGAACCTGCGACATCTCTGCAGCCAGCAGGGCAGGTTCAGAACATAGAGTTTATAACCTCGAGGGCTTTTGTTTCTCCTTGTGGTGGGGAGGACTCGGGGAGAGCGGGCTGATAAAAAGGGAGGTAGGAACTGGGATGTCCTTCTAGGCTCCCGGGGCTCTACTGGTCTCAAGCCATGTCATACACTGTGGCCTGTAGTGGCCAGCAGGCATTTTCCCAGAGTGAGGTAAGGTCAGGAGCTGGGCACTGCTGTTCGGGGACTGAACAGCACCCCCATCCCTGTTCCCCACTCCACTCAGATGCTGGGAGGAGCTCACCACATGTGCAAAATTGAGAAGAGTGTCAGAGTCAGTGAGGCCACAGCGTGATGCGAGGTTAATCAGAATCCACCTGTGATTCTTTAAAATTCATAGAACATGCAGAGGAACCAGGCCGAAGGTGAAAAGCAAAGGCAGCGCTTCCCTTTCTGGAAGTCCAGGAGGGTTTAACATGGCTTTCCTCTGCTCCTCAGCCCTATTTTTTGCATCCTTATCAACTTCTTGCAGCTGCTGGCTTGGCTGTGAGTTTCAAATGTGACTGTTTGTCCCTTGGGTGCCCACGATGGTTCATGTTAAATCTTAGGTATTATTTTTGTCGAATTTCTTTCCCTCCAAATGTTTTTTCTCTGCCAGGAACTAAATGTTTAGAAAGAGAGCATGGTGAAATAAGATTGCCCCTGTATGGCCTTTGTGGAAGTCTACCCAGCATCATATAAATTAAATGAATGTGTGCCTCCCCGTGAGGTGCACAAGGAAAGCGGCAGCTCACATCTATGCGGGATGAAGGGCGGTGTCCTGCTCACTTTGTCCTGAGGTCCCAACACGTCACAGGAGTTCCAAGGGTTTGGAAGAAACTAGAGCCAAGCACCGGAGAGGGGCAGGCAGGAAGAGTGGTCCCAGGCTGGTGGGCTGTCCTTACCTTCTCTTCCATGATTGTCTAGGGTGATGAAATGATGAAAGTGGCCTCACAACACCAATCACAGAAGAAAAACTACATCTAGCAGTCCTTCCAGGGACAGTCCGACTTAGCATGTGAGGGAGCCATTCTGGCTGTCTGCCAAGCACATTAAAGGCGCAGTCTCTCTGGGCCACTTTTGATTCAGAAAGTCAGCAAGACCAGGCATATAAGTGCTTCTAAAAGTGCTTGATGGAAGCATGGTCTTTCTCTTAATGAATGAGCTGGCTGGTGGGGTCAGAGGAGAGCCTGACCAGGGAAGGCCTAATGAGTCATTCCGCACTCCACGCCTGGAGATCAGGACCTGAGGGCACTTTCCCTGCCCAGGTAACTGGGTGATTGTCGCCTCCACCCTGCTTTGAGGGTGTTGACAGCTCTTGCTGGTCAGTCCACATGCAGCATAGCTGTTCATATCCCTTTACCACAGTCTGTGTCAAAGAGCGAGAGTGAAGGCCTGGGTTGGACTTTCAGTTCTGTCCCTCAACTGTGTGTCATTAGAGAAGTCGTTTACCTTCTCCAAGTTGCTGTTTCTGCATCTGTGACAACAGGGACGTGAGTAAGTTAATCTTGGTGATGCAGTTAGCACAGGATGTGGTGTCTGATGAGCGCTGCACAGATTCTTGCTGTTCTGTCGCTCCGCAGCTCAAAGCCTCTCAGTGGTTCCACAGTGCCTGGAGGTCTGGCTTGTCCTCCCCGCTTTGCAGTGACCCGCGTTCCTACCAGTCCAGGGCAGAGGCAAACTGGACGTCTTCACCTTTTGTGCTACACATTGCATCTGCCTTGGGTCTCAACACCTAGATGACAAGGAACATCTTCAGGTAGCAGGCTTCCTGGGACAAGACATTAGTTTCAGAAGTTTCACTAATAGATACATTTCAGGATTTTACAGCAGTTTAACAACTAGTTCATGAATTCCTGCAGTAGAGTTTAAGCATTCTGAGTGCCTGGGTTCCCCACTTGAGCATGATAAAGAGTATGGCAATAAACAAGCACCTTGCCCCTTCGGTTCACACTTCCAACACGCTTTGGTGTTTATTCCGGAGGCAGAGTCCTGCTCGCATGTTAAGGTAAGAGTTCTCTTAACTGCCTGGGCTAGGCAGGGGCAGCCCTGCTTCCTCTGTGGAGGTGGAGAGCTGGTCCCGGAGGAGCAGTTTGGTCTGGGATCTGATGGATTTGAGAGAGAGCAAGCCCAGCTTGGGCTAGATGGATGCGGAGGGAGGGGCCAAATTATAAGGGAGATAATGGATGTAACAGAAAGTGGAGGAGGAGATCAAGGCTGGAAATCCCAGCCCTGGACTCGGGGAGTTTAGGAGAGGTAGGGCTCTGCTAGGACAACAGCACAATGTGCTTAATATATAAAATGGGAAGGAGTGCACTTGTAACCCCACAGCGCCACACCTCCTAACACTTGTCTTAACTGCCCTGACTCTCCAGCTCAGAGTTGCCCCACCGGGACACCAGGGCTAAGCAAAAGTGCTGGGGATGCAGGAGGAATGAGGATCAGCATGTTCTCTAACATGCAAATGGCCTCCAGTGGCCCAAGGGAAAGGGAAGGATGCTCTTGAGTGGGGCGGGGCTGAGCAGGGCCCCTGGTGCACCCAGGTCAGAGACGCAGAGATATAGGGAGGCCGTGAGGCTGTGTGCTGGGGTCTTTGGGCAACAGGTCCTCAGGTTCTGTTACTGGCCTGGGTGAGCGGGGATCTGCCGGGGGCCCTGGGGCAGCACCAGGCTGTCTTCAGCTCCAGGGCTCCATGGCTCCAGCCAGGCTTCTGCAGGTTTGAGTTGGGAGAAAGATGGCAAAGCATCATTTCATCACAAGGCCGCTTCCTGCAGTCAGTGAAGCTTTGGCCTCAGGCCCCTGGGTAACAGTGGCCACTGCTTTGCAAGGTTATTTGCCTGCCCTTTGCCCGGCCTTCCAAATTCTAAAGAGTTGCCTCACCTCAATGATTAGAATGTTAACTGTGAAACCATCTTCCCTCGGAGTTACAGAACTCAGAACATCTGGTGACCTTCAGTTTATGTCAGAGTATGCGACATACTAATGCCCCTCCCTGTGTAATTCAGGACATTGTTGAACACAGAGCATGTGAATTGCTGTGAGATTGAGCTTGCAGAAGAGTAAAGTGTCTGAGGAACTGCAGGAACTAGCCCCAGAGAGTCTGGGTGCATGGTGATGGCCCCGCAGAGAAGGAGGAAGAATTGAGACACATCCCTGGATGACATGGAGTCTTCCCAGCACTGTGTCTCTGTTCTTACATGGCCTGCCTGTAAAAGCCCCTTGTACCTGTGAGCGCCCCAAGGTGGAGCTTGAAGGATAATCCCTCCATCTCAGGGCCAGCTGTGGAAGATTGGTTTTGTCCTCACCAGTCTCCTCTCCTGAGAACCGGCTTTTAAGCGGAGTGCAGTCAGGTCTCGATCCAGTAGCAGGTCCTGTTAGGGAAGAAAAGGACTGGGCTCCTGTGCCGTTTGGGGTTTTTTCCCTCCACAGATCCTTCTCAGATCATCCCCCGCCCCGACCTTCAGCCCGCTCACTCAGTGTTCTCCAGAGGAGCGTGACTTTTCCTGCTTCCCAAGGTACTTTTGCCAAGGACTTAAGTGGATCTTTGAACCCCTTCCGCAGCCTGTGAATTCACCCAGGCTTGGCTCGCTCTTCCTGCTGCCCTCCCCTCCTTCCTCGCGCGGTCATTCACAGCTTTTCAGAGCAGCAGTGCAGCAGGAAGGGGTGAAAGGAGGGCATCGCAATCGTCTGAGTGGGCAGTGGCCTGCGTGGCGTGACTGCTGCTCTTTTCCCCTCCCTTAAAGCATCAAAGAGCCAGCATCTAGCACTGTGTTCATCCCTTTCACCCTGTGTCTCCACCTAAGTCGTCACAATACCCACACAGGATGGGTGACATTGTCTCCATCCCCGCTCAGGGCGGGTCAGTCAAACCCGCGGAGCACGCCCCTTGCCAGCTACTCGCTTCTCTGAGGCGTTCCCCTTGTGGACCCCTTCGTCTGCCTGCATTTGATTGTTCAGTGTGTACCGTGTGCCGGTGGGGTGCACGCATCCGCAGCAGCAGGCAGCCCGGAGGGAAGACCCTGAAAGCTGCTCTGAAACAGCTGCACAGCGAGGTGAAGAAGTGGGGATTGTGGGTGTGGGAGGGGAACGGGAGCATCTTTTGTGAAATCAGGTATCTTGCGAAGCAGTGACTTCGTGGAAGAGAAGATGTCTGAGCCTGGCCTTCGAGGACTGGTGTGTGGACGTGGGATGAAGAGGAGGAGACTGGGCAAGGAAGGGGAACGGGCGTGTGCTTTCCATTAAATCATCTGAAAGTGGTAGACCTGTGACGTCCTAACCCCAAATAATTCCACATGTGAATCCTAGAACAAGAGCATCCCCGCCGCCCCCAACAAGCACAGAATCATTGTTAACAGGCGGGAGAAAACAGTTGTCCCTTAGATCTATGGGAGATTGGCTCCAGACCTCTCCCCATGGACACCAGTATCTGCAGACGCTCAAGCCCCTTGCAAAAAAATGGTGTTTGTGTCTAACTTTCACACAGCCTCTCATTTACATCATCTCTAAATTACTTATAATACTTGGCACAATGCAAATGTATGTAAATAGCTGTTACACTGTATTGTTTAGGGAGTCATGACAAGAAAAAATCTCTCTCCTTGTTCGGTACAGATGCAGATTTTTCCCCTCACATATTTTCCATTTAGGGCCAGTTGATTCTACAGCTGTGGAAACCATGGAAATGAAAGGTTGATTGTAGGTACTGATAAAAACTTTTCTGGCCCAGGTGTGGTGGCACACACCTGTTATCCCAGCACTCGGGAGGCTGAGGCAAGAGGATTGCTGCAAGTTTCAGGCCAGCTGGGCAACAAAGTGAGTTGAAAGCCAACCTGGACTACATAGCGAGATCCTGTCTCTAAAAGACCTAACAAAAAAACCCTTCTTTTCTGATAAGAGTCCAGAACTAGTCCTGCCTGGATCACACACTGCATTACGTAGTCATGACTCTTTAATGCCTTTTAAAATCTAAAACTGTGGAAGTGCCCTGCCCCACCCCGCCTGGCCTCGCCCTTCTTTTTCTTTCCTGCTTGCTTTATTGGAACTTGATCACATCAACCACCATTCTGGAGTCTGGGCCAGCTGTTCCTTGACTTGTGTTGTCTAATTACTTCCTCATAGTTAGATCCTGGTGGGGCTGGGGATTTAGCTCAGCAGCACAGCGCCTGCCTGGCAAGTGCGAGGTCCTGAGTTCGATTCCCAGTACTGGGGAAAAAAAAAATAGACGCTGGTGATAATTCTGGGAGGAGTGTTGCATCTTTCTCAGGGTGATCGCCTCAGAGGCAAATGTGGTTCCTTGCCTCTGGTCAGCGGGTTTCATAATTCAAGATGTTCATTTGAACTGTTTGGTTGGGGTGGAGTCCAGCAGATTCTTCCGTTTTAAAGATTGTAGAGGCACTTTTTTTGCGGGGGGGGGGGTACTGGAGATTGTACCTAGGGCCTTTGCACTGGGCTACATCTCCAGTCCTTTTGAATTTTGTTTTTATTTTGAGACAGAGTCCAGGTCAGGCTGCCAGGCCAGACTACAACTTGCTGTCCTTGTCCACCTCAGTGCCGGAACCTTTCGAGGCCCTGGTTCCTTTTAGTGGGTGATGGCGTGTAGACGTCAGGATTGGGGTGCGAGAGGTACTCAGGTCAGCTAGGCTCATGGTTTTCAGCCCTGGTAGTTTTCAGAACTAAGAAATAGAAATGTTACCAAGTCATGAGCTTGTCCTGACCCTATGACTAATCCAACAACTCAGTTCTTCTGCCTCTCTTCCATATTTGTATTTCCCCTTTCCCAAGGGAAAACTCTTTTCTTAATAGTGACAATATATTTTTTAATCTGTCTTAAACAAAAACCATTTTACAATTGTTATTCCAATACCACTGCCAAATACAAATGTACTAAATACAGTTGAAGATTTTTCTGCATTTCTTTTTATTCTTTAGTGTAACCAACTGTGATCTCTAGAACACTAAAAAGATACCTGGACATTTTCCTTTTGATGTTGTCCACATTATCAATTTGATATATAGCTGCAGTAGTTTGCTTTTGGTTCTATTCAATTTTAGGGTTTTATACTTTTTAAGATTTTAATATGTGTGCCAGGCGTGGTGGTGCACGCTTGTAATCCCAGCACTTGGGAGGCTGAGGCAGGAGGATTGCAAGTTTGAGACCAGCCTGGGCCACAAAGTGAGCTCAAGGTCAGCCTAAACTGCATAGTGAGACCCTGTCTCAAAAAGACAAAAAAAGTTTTTAATATGTGAAATATTAACACGGTTAAAAGCAAATCAAACTCATGCCCAGAACACTCAGAATCAAAGATGTGCCCAGAGAAATCCTATTCCCATCTTCCCCCTTTCCCCATAACAGATAATATTTGTTACTGGTTTATTTTTACTCTTTCTTTTAGTAGTTATAAATAGATACATATATTTATTTCTAATATCATCAATAACATAGCTATGTAGTAGTTATAAATAGATACATATATTTATTTCTAATATCTTCAATAATGTAATACTCTATGTACTCTCTTGAATATTGCTTTTGTCATCTTACCATGTATGCAAAAAATCAGTTCATAGAGATCACCTCCATTCTTTTTTACATACTTTTGCATAGTACTTCATGAGATATAAGTTCATTTATATCATGTGGCCAGGGAAAGACCCTTTAATAGGATGACAGTTACTTATGGACTTATGGAAGCTGGAGTGCAGTCCATGAAGCTGTCCAGGGAAGTAGTAGTGCAGGCAGAGGGTGCACCTGGGGTGAAGACCCTGAGAAGCTTTAGACACTTACAGACCTTCAAGGAAGCCATTGTGGGATAGAGTAATAGAAAATAAAATTGTAAAAGTGGTCAGGGCCAATCCTGCAGGTAACTCATTGTGGACCCTTAAAGACTTAGATGTTTTTACTCCCAGTGAAATGGGAAGTTTTGGAAGGCTTTCTAGAGGAGAGAAATGAAGAGTTATTCTGGGCTCTGGGTCTGTAGAAGGGGAGGTTGTGGGAGTGGCACAGACAAGAAATGGCCAAGGTAGGGGTCGGGGGTGAGGAGGTAAGAAATGGAGACATCTGCAAGGTGTTTGAAAGCAGAGCTTGCAGGATTTGGTGCTGGCTTACACACGTAGGGTGACATGTCACAGGACATCGGCAGTGCCAGGCAAGTAGCAAGAGCTCAACAGCAGAACAGTTTCCTCCTCCTCCTCCTCTTCATCCTCATCCTCATCATTTAGCTCTTTGCCAGAGCCTCTTATTGGGCTGTGATTGATCCCTTCTCTTATCAGCTATCTCAGTTCTCTTGCATGCAAGCAAGAAGCATGATACTTCAAAAATTTTTCTTCCCGTGATTTGTTCTAATTCTTTTCTTTAGCAGTACAGATTGTTAAATCTGCACATGAGGTGCTAAAAGTTATTGTTAAGTATTTCTCCATTTGAAGTTATCTCCCATTTTCACATTATTATATGAGACTTTCTTGTGTGCTTCACTGAAAGCAAGATTCAAATAGTCTGTGTCTTATTGAGAAAAGGTAGTCAGTCAAAATAGCATCTCGTGTTTCTATTGGACACCTAGACCCAATGTTATAATGGGGTGTAAATAAGAATAACTGCCATGAATTAAGCACATGTTCTGTGTCAGGTACTTGCTTACTATTTTAGAGTTTTGTTTTTAATCGTCACACCAGTTTTGTTAGGTAGGGGCTATTAAAGAGAACAAAGGTTAGGTTGATTAAGTACTTATCCAAGTTCACGCAGCAAGTAAGTACTGGTGTAGCTTGAGCCCAGGTTCCTATGAATCAAAATCCACACCCTCAACTGCTCTATTGCACTCCCAGCCCAAGATCTGAATATAAATCTTATGAAGATTTTTTAAGACCATAACTGATCTCTTATGTATGATGTGTGCATTGTTCAGTGGAATTTTGCTGCATGTGTGAAATTATGCAGCACATCACAACTACCAATCATGAAAAGTTGCCTTCAGTATCATAATTTTTAATGGGGACATGGATTTTTGGGCCATAGACTTCAGAGTGGGGTTTATTTACATTTTTGTTATTAACATTTGCTATATTTGTACTCTCTAGATATTTCACTGCTAGATGATTTTGCATAATCCCAATGACATTATAATGTCCATGATAATTCCATAATATTGTCTAACTTCTACCCTTATTCTCATTTCCCCATCATCACAAGAATGTCTTTTTTCTTAAAGCTAGGATCTAGTCAGTTTCACTTATTGCATTCATTGCTGATTATTTTCATTTTGAAAAATGCCTTTCAGAAATTTTAAAAGACCAGTGTCTTAGTTACTTTTCTCATTGCTGAGACAAAATACCTGACATCCAAAGTTAGAGGAGGAAAGGTTTATTTCAGCTCAGTTTGCAGAGGTTTCAGTCCACAGTCAGATGTCAGGGTGGCAGGGCAGAGGAGAAACAGTCCGTGGTGTGGTGGGCAGGAAGCGGCAAGCAAACAGGCAGCAAGCCTGCCTTTCCCTTTTATCCCCTCCAGGCTGCGAGCCTTTTGGGTGATGTCATCCACACCCAGGGAACCCAGGGTAGGCTTTTGTCTTCAGTAAATCCATTCAGCCATACCAGAACTGTGCTAATTCTAGTCAGTGGATGTAGCATATTGGGGGAGTGGGGTGGGACCAGCAGAGACTGCCAGGCTTGTTTAAAGGCAACATGGTATGGAATTTATTGTGCCTGGATATGGCAGGCAGAGAGTGACAAGACTGCCTACAGGAAACAAAGAGACCTGTAATCCCAGCACTTGGGAGGCTGAGGCAGGAGGATCATTGTGAGTTCCAGACCAGCCTGGGCTACAAAGTGGGTTCAAGGCCAGCCTGAACTGCATGTGAGACCCTATCTCAATCCCTTTTTTAGAGATGGGGAGAAGGTAGGGGACATTAGGCAGGGAAGATTTTAATAAACATCTGTGGTCAAAGTTTCCTGGCAGTCTTGCGCCTCAGTGGGTAGAGTCCTTGATGGGCCAATGTAAATTTCAGATGTCCCCAGATGTCCTGGGAGCTGCAGTATTCCTTGTCTTATCTCATCTCCTTCACAACATCCCATGCGGGATGATAAGTTCCTTGCTGAGAGTAGTGTTTCTGCTGGCAGGAAGGCTGGGTGCTGGGAGAGTCAGGTGTGATTCAAGCCTTACAGTTGACTAATTTAGTATCACAGACCCTTAATCCCAGTATCACATACAATAGATCCAGCCAGCTCTGAAAAGCCTCACCTGTGAGTGCAGGAGGCTTTGGGGGGACATCTAGATATAAGACTTAACACCCTAGAAGCACTTTTGAAGAATTTAGATCTAGCAATTTGTTTTATTGACTCCCTGTCACTCTAATATTTCTTTAGCACATTGAGACCTGGAGGTTAGGTTTTCGTATCTCCGTCTAAAGCAGAAATTTTTCTACATAAATCAGCCCTTCTTTGCATGAGTTATCTGCCTTTGATTTTTTCCCCCTCAGATTCTTTCTTCTGCAGCATAGAAGGCTTTTTGAACCTTTTACATTTTCAGGTTGACCAGAAGCTTGTACCTGAAGGCAGCCCCTCAGATTCTCCAGTCACAAAACAAGCCCCCCATCTCAGGGCTGTAAGTGAAAGTGGGATGCCACCTGTTCCTTTTCCCAGAAAAGCTTACAATTTGAAAAAAAGTGTGCCAGGCGTAGCGCACACCTGTAATCCCAGTACTCGGGAGGCTGAGGCAGGAGGATCTTTGTGAGTTCCAGGCCAGCTTGGGCTACAAAGTGAGCTCAAGGCCAGCCTGAACTGCATAGTGAGACCGTG